GCTATTGACTGTTCAAATGTGGAGTTTTGCGCAACACAGGGTAACGCGTTGTGTGTGTGTGTGTGAGGGGAACAGGGTCACATCACAGGAGAGTGAACTGAAAAAAATTCTGATGTCTGTCAGAAATCATAGCACGTCAGCTGTCTTAACCGTGGCTTGTGTACTGCATCATCACTGTGTCTGTCACACGACTCTGTTGCCCTTTCGGGCTTGAACTGATGGTAAAACTAACAACATTATTAACTGTCTTGATATTTACTTTGAAAGCTGAAGCGATTATGGTAAGGGGCGTTACATTTCCGACGCGTGCTTTGTGGTGTTCGGCCAATCACAATGCACTGGGTCAGCTGGCCAATCTGAGCAGACTGCGCTTGTCAAAGGAGGGGGCTTTGTTGAAAACGACGTGTTTGAGAGAGGCGGGGCATAGAGGACCTACAATAATGTACAGTATTTGAAAAATAATGTGTTTTTTGAACATTAAAGCATGTCAACATATTCTGTTACACCAAATACACAAAATAATGATCTTTAAAATAGCATCATATGACCCCTTTAAGAGTCTGAGACTGAAGAGCAATCCAAAATTGCCAACATCTTTGTGGTTTGAAGAACGTTCCTCTGTGTAATCTAATCTAAGACCACGCACAATGACTGATGACGAATATTATATGGGATAAATGCTGTAAGGTTTAATAGATTTTGATTTGTAAGTTTTGTGACGCCTTATGGTACCTTCAGAAAAAGGCACAAAATCACTTTCCAGAACATTTTCGTTCACTGTTCCTTGATGGTGGAATGATTTTCCCAACCCTATCCGGAATGCCTGACTATATTCCTGAAACAATATTAAAAAAAAACAAAAAAAAACTAATTTCTTCCGTCCGCACTTAACTGCATCCTGCTGAGATGCTGCTCTCTATGATTTCTTAATCCCTCCGTTCTAGCTTGTACTATTTTAAACAATGTCTGAAATTTTGTATTACTAGCACTTCATTGCCTCTTTATGATGAATTGCTTATTGTATTGCTCATTTGTTAGTCATGAATTGGATTGGATAAAAACGTCTGCTAAGTGAATAAATGTAAATATAAGGTGGTTATCAAAGGAATGTTCTGGTTTCAGTAGATATTCAGCATCTGTGATATGTTAGAAATATTTATCTATAATAATAATACAATAAAAATATAATAATACAAAATTTGCTTGTGAGAAATAAATAAAGACTTTCAAATTTCAGAAATTTCACATCAATGCTTTTAAACTAGATCTTTTTTTTTTTTTGACCAATATTTATTATATTTATGGCTGAATATCCAATCACCAGTAAGAACTGATTAGGAAGTTGTTGTTTTTTTAAACATAGTAATAACTAAATAATTATTGGATAGAAAAATACAATGAATCAATATTGATGCATTATGAATATTTTGTTAATAAATAACATTTTATTTTTAAATATTTATAATATTTTATATATTAAAAAAACTAGTATGTCAAACCTTTCTGTGGCACCTCTCACTTAAACATTGCTTACATTTTTCGACTTTTTACAGCCATGTTATACATATATAATATTATATTATATATAAATTGGCCAAACTGATTATCGGTCTTTAATCCCTTCGGAATGACTTGCTCCATAAACTTTCATTGTAAGCACATAAATGCACACAGGATTTTCTTGTTTGTTTTTGCAAACTAAGTGACGAGCTACGATAACTTTCTGCTGTAATCAATATCATGCCACAGATGCTGTTCGTTGAATTCAAAGCATTCCTCTTCTGGTTACTTTAAAAATTCTCCAAAATATCATTCACACTTGAAAGAGAAAACAAACTGTTTATTATTAATTACAAAATGTGTTTATTATTTCTCTAAATATAATTCATCTCTGAATGTCTAAGTCACTCAACATAAAATCAATTGAATAATTTTCTTGTTTATTTACATTGATGGTTTTCAGCGGCACAAGCAAAGAATGCTCACGTGTCGTAACCGGATTACATCAGTGAAGAGTTCAGAACAGATGTAGGATCGGCTGCAGATGCAGTGATATTTCCTGTGAAGAATGCTGCATGTTTCCACTGCAGTTTCAAAATCTCAGTCACCAAAGTCCAGCAGTGCATTGGGACCCTTCTTTCTCTCCAGAGCACTGACGCAGACATGCACCAACATAGGCCAAAAGACTAGGCTGGATGACTTGTTTTCAGATGTGCATGACGTTAGCAAATAGGAGGTGTAAAACCAGATAATAAAGCACCTTGCAGGTTTACATCAAAGAACATGATCATCTATTTTACATTCATACACAGCTGGTGGACACACGGCAAATCCACAGGTAACGAGAAATTGAATTTATGACTAAACCAAATTTACACCTCGTACAACAAGCTAGAAAATTCTTCAAGATTTGTGAACAAAGGGTCATTTTATGAAGGTTTTGACTGTTGTGTGAAGGTTATATGCAAAATGTATTATCAGTTTAGGAAAAGTAAACATCATAAGGGCTATAACCTTGCCTGAATTTTGTAAATAACCAAATAGTATAACACAAACCTGTGTGGAGTTCATACAGTTAGAGAATAGAATAGAATAGAATAGAATCGAATAAGTTTCACTAGTGGTCTCAGACCTTTTGGACCTTGCTGTAATTTGGTCAGCTGGTTTTAAAATCCTAATAGAGCTCAGTGTTCTGCTGGCGTTGTAAGGGGCCTTGGAATACGGTCATCGGCTGTCTCAAATTCCTCTCATAGCTTTGGCTAGCCACTACGAAAACAGCCTCTCTCGCATACATGACCTCTTGACCCGTTAACCAATAGGAGTCCTCTAATCCGGGAGTTATGAGCATATGATTAGATTTGCCAGTGGATAAAAATTGCTGTAAAACTAAAACAAGCACTTCAAATAAAAGATTCAGGGATTCCTTTTCAGAATCAGTTTGATGAGAGAAATGAAATACATAAAACACTGTCCCTGAACCAGGCAGGAAGTTAATCTGTGCCTGGACCCAGTCCAAGCTTATCTCTAAGGAGATTGTATCAGTGTCCTGAAGAGCCTCTACACCTATCACTAAAATGAGATGGATTGCTTTGCTCTGAGGCGTGCAACATCCCTCTGAGCTGTTAATGTCATCAACTTTGTTAGCACTGGAAATACCCCTGAGCAGCAAGACTGGATTCATTCAATTAATTAGAAACTCTTTTGAAATGACTGTATGCAGCATCACTAGCTTAACCAGTTAAACTCCAAACTCCAAAATGACGTTAAAAATGTTTAGAAAAACATAAAAATGAAACATAATTCAATTAATAATCAATTAAAGTGCTTGTGGCACAGAGTAATGTAGGATTGTGGGGTTAATGTGTTTTATAAAGTCTGTTTTTGCAAAGGAAACTCACAATGACACATTTCGATGCAGAGATAGACATTCTGACTCGCTTCACAAATAATGTAGTAACTCCTGTTTAGAAGCTGTTATTTGAAAGATTATTTTTTCTGGTAACTTTTTGGCATCTAGTGGCATCAAACAAAGTAAATTGCAGAGAGTTGTGCCTAATAGAACCTGAATTACAGATTTTCAAAAAAATACTTAGTTTTAAAACTCCAAAAGCGCCTATGTTTTTTTTTGCGTTTATAGTAATATTTGAAAAGTATACAATGTTATTTATAAAGAATTACACTCACATTTTGTAGTTCAAAGGGTTTTCTTTACAATTAAATCATTTTTTTTCATTTCCTCCATTGTATGTGTGCAGGGTAAACATTTGAATTTGAGTATGTTAAATTTAGGCGAAAATACCAAAAAACGCCCCGAGCTTAAGTGGTTAAGACAAAACTGCTCCACTTGTGACTATCTGCTCCAAAACCTAGTGAACAGCCTATCTAACCTATCTTCCAAAAGGTAGAAAATACTGGAAGTTATCATATTTCGTCACTGTACGTTAGCATTAGCTGTCACAGCCGCTAAAATTGCCTCAAATCACCAGCTGTCACTGACTATAAATTATGCTTTATTACCACATATAAGCATCACAAGTACATTTTGTGGAGAACACAGTAATTCAACATGTAATCCAAAATGGCATATATAAGTTAGTGGAATTTGATTATAAATAAATTCAGTGGACTATTTTTATCCAGTATAATTGTTATGCTTATTAAAGTATCACATTTTTAGTTTTACATGCTAATGGCAAAGTATTAGATTTA